AACACACCCAAAACAACACATGACCTGAATGAAATTGATATTTTTTTTACATGCATTCACTCCTATGTCACCGTATACATGCTCCACCCATGTCTGACTGGCTGCTCACCTGAGGTCCATTTTTCATGCTCCTTGGGGTTGTTCAGGAAGATGCAAGCCGCCAAAGGCCACTCCTGGAAGGTAAAGCCCTGAATGAAGGCCACCTGCAATCCCAGTTCGCACATGTGTTCGCACGTTGTGTTCGCAAGGCTAACCGGGTAGCTTGTTGGGCACCAGGCTGGCAGGGACCCGACCCAGTGGAACCAGGAAAACCACGTCGATTGCGTCGTCCCCGTGTTTCCAAAAACGAAAACTAACTAATTACTGCTTTTTGATAGCAAAAGCATGCAAAAGGAGCCTAATAGCAATGGCCTCCAACCATCTCCAACCTACAAGCGATGACCTCCAACCTACTAGCGATGACCTCAAACCCTGGTTCCGTATATAATAATAGTCTAGTGGTAACTAGGATCCACTGGGGATGAGATAAAACACCGTCTTCCTTTGAAGAGCGAGATAAGGGGACAACCATACGAGTAAAATATGTTGCAACCATATCGCTGGCATTATGTGCATGGTTGAACAGCATTATGCAAAATTCACTTCCTACTCTGGCAAAAACAAAGCACCAAGGAACTCTAAACTGGTCAGTTTTCTTCACCATGCGCTCCACAAGTTCCTTTTCAAGGGGGACAAACATCGGCAAGCTTCACACCGCCTTGATATCCTTCTTCTTTGCAGCCTCCTCCACTGCGTGGTAGGCACCCATCCCTGCGCCAATGACTGCCACATCAAACTCTGACCTCTTTTCGCCAGACATCTCTTCCACCCGCGCGGCAACGGGCTGAAGCTTAGGAGACTTGGAACGGGAAAGCCCTGGAACCAAAGAGTCTGAGCCATAAAAGGTGACATGGATGCATAATGGATGGAAAGCACGGTTTATTGATGCGAAACCCAAGAGATATCAGTCCTCAATCTTGTGAGATTGGCTAGCTTGGCTAGCTTGGTCCTCAATGAAAGCTGACTTCCCTCCCTCTTTCTATCTCTTTCACATTCTCTTGCCATCTCACTCCCTCTCGCCCTCCCCCTGCCCTGAGGATGGAACTCGCGTCACATCCTGCAGCAGAGCGAACCATCCCACAAGAACAGGGATACATACCCCAAAAAAACGCCCACCACGACGCAGGCTGCAACCCCCTCGTCAGGGGTCAGGAGGTGCTCGAAACCCAGGAGCCGAATGGAGCTGCCATGGAGCAGCCACGTCCATGAAAACGCTCATGTGTGCGCCACTCCACTCTCCCCTTCCGCTGCCATGGGACGAGTGGAGTGGCGCACAGGGAGAGTGGAGTTGGTTTCTTGAACTCCTTGACACTCCGTGAGATCTGAACTGAGACGCTTTTGTTTTTCTCCCCTTGGCTGAGCCCTATTCTCTGCCAGGTTGCAATGCGCTGTTCCTTTTTCCCAAGGAACAACCAACAAAGCAGTGATCAATAGCAAAGATCCACAACATCTGGTGACCGGGGCTGGTATGGACTTACAGTCTCTATATATATATATATATAAGGGGTGTATATATTATATATATATATCGGCAATCGCATCGTTCAGCTTTGACGGGAGATCACGTTGCCAACTCCAATCACCACAGGGTGGATCAAGCGTTGAAACGATTGGTTTCATCATGTTTCATTTCTTGGCCACACGGTGCCCTGGTCAAACCAAGGGGTACCATGGAACATATCAACTTCTAGAGTGCAACTCCGAATGACATCTGAAAACAAAGATATTATACATATTATACATGATATCATTCAGATTCATTCAGTAGTGATTTTCAGAGTAGCCTCTGACATCCTCTGACAACCCCTCTGAGAGGACTCTAAGTAGCCTTTCAAACACCAAAGTGACCAGTGCAAGCCAGTGACAGCCAGTGTATCAAAGGCCTTTGAAGAGTGTAGCAAACACCTCACCTCCGAATCATCTCTTCCCACCCAATAGCACCTAGAGTGGTCTGTGGTACATTCTGGTTCTGAAATGGACTTTCCTCATGAAAGTGGTGCTACCAGTGATTTGAGCCACCCGTTTTTCACCCAATCATTGGCCAATCTGAGCCAATTCCCAAATGAGCCACTCTAAAAACCTGGAGTCACTCCCTATGTCGTATCACTTTCCTTGCGCGAGGCCCTACACGCTGCTTACGCGGCCCTCACTTTTGCTTACGCAGAGCAAACTTCCGAAACGCTTACGCGAAATGCTTACGCAATCTTACGCAACCCAGGGTTTTGCTTGCGCGGAATTCGATATGACAAGGTCCTTACTTAAGATGTAAAGGCTGGTTTTACTTAAGATGAAAATCCGTACATATCCAGGGAAAACACCGAAAAAACCGGGATGGAGAACACCGGGATGGAGGCGAATCCTGCGACTCGACTCCCAGCTGCGCGCTCGATCGATCTCTCGGTCGCACTCTCGCCTCACGGAAGATCTCCATGGGCCCGAAGGCCACGTGAGCCCGGGGCCTGTGAGGGGAAGGGAGCTACAAGGCCATCGGAGAAGGCCTGCTACAAGGCCGGAGTTGTGGCTGGTTCCCTTTTCGAAAGGAATGGTCCTATGTCCATCTTCGAAGGATGGACCATGTCATGTCTGCCTGAATGCAACTCAAACAGCGAGTCTGGATGGTGAACGGTTTTGGTGCAAGATGGTGCAAGTCTTTAGAGAAGATCGTCCTTTCTTCCAGCCTTTGTCCTTTTCAACCAAAAAAGAACAAATCCAACTGACTACATTCTTGCAAAAAGCAACAGAGCTGGAATTTTGAAATCCGGGACACACCTGATTTCCCTGGGTCGACTGGTTGGTTTCCCCAGTAAGAGGGAGGTCTCCCTAATTTAAGAAATACCTGTAATTATGGTTCCGAGAGACACCCCAAGCCACGTTCAGTTTGAGTTCCCCTGTTGAGAACTACCATCATCACCACCAGTTCCGCCTGATTTTTTGGGGGGAGTCGCGCGCGGATCTCTGAATATGGGGGGTCCCTTAGATACCTCAGACCGTCGATACCTCCAGGAATATTTATCTATTATTCCTGGAGGGTTGAACATCGATTTGGATAATTATTCCACAGGGTGGGAACCTCCTAGAATAATTTCTGGCATCTTAACATAATTTAATAATCCTATAGGTATCCAAGTCTCTCTCAAAATATTCCAGCAGTATGTGACCTCTAGATTACATATGGAATATATTTTGTAAACTGACCAATCCCCAGTCTCTTCACCTAATGTACTGCCAAAATCTGTTGGATCCATTTCAATATATGTATTTGAATCAAAAATCAAACATCCCAAGCTCATATCCAAAAGCTTATTGTGTCCAAGAGTTTCTTTCTGCATTCAAAAAGACGACATCGATTGATATCGACTGTTTTGATTCGACTTATTAATTTACCTCTATTTGGTATGGACCCCTCTGGATCCCTCTGAGATGATCGCTCAGTTTGGACAGCGCTTTAACATATTTATACCTTAAACAATTATTCCACGACAAGCTCCACGGTGGGGTATGGCATACCTGCATGGAAAAATATTCCAGAAAAAATATTCCAGCAAAAATATTCCAATACGTAAGGGTATGCCTGGAATAATTTCCCAAGGCACCCCCCATCTCTGAATCGCGCCCGCGTTTCACGACGTCTCTACGACGTGTCCTTTCGCCACGTCGAGGTGGTGAACAACCACATCTTCACCGATAGAGAGTTTGTGCATGTGGCATGGACATGTGGCCATCCCAAGAATTTTGGCGTTATTAAATTAGTTGTTTTCTTTGTGCGTTGCTCGTTGGGGCTGATGCTGGCTTATCCGATAAATTTAGTGAGTCTCTCTTCCAGATTGTATAGCTTAGCCCTCTGAATTATCCAACAAGTCTCTTTGATGGAAGTGATGGGAAGTGCTTTGTGCAAGTCTTGGACTTGGATCGATAGTCAGTATGATGGTTGGTTTCTCATTTTATCCCGACCCTGTCAACACACAAACTGCCGTGCCCAAAACCCCTCTCGACGTGCCGAAAAACGCGCGTGGTTCGGCCTCATCTCTTCCTCCTCGGACTTGGTGCATTTCAACTCCGGCGCCAGCTGAGGGGCTTTCCCAGGTCGCGGCGGCCTCCGACATCGCGCCGTCTCCCAAAAAGTGGTCGATCGTTGATTCACGTGGTCGCACGCGCGACCTGAGAGAGTCCTCTGGAACGGGTTTAATTAGCCATGTTCGGTCACCAGCGGGGCTAAGGTTAGGGGTGAAGGACAGGGTGAACCTAGTGAAGTCATGTCACCAACCATATGGTTTCGGGTGGAAGAACATGATCTAGACCACAACGAGGCCTCGAATATCGCGATCGTCCGTCCAATGCAGATACCTTTACTTTTCCGCCTAACATGGTTCATGTAAAACCATTTGAACAAGGAAGGATGCCGTAGCACAAGGCCTTGGGAACGGGGACAAGTTCGTCAATCTGCTTGGATGGTTCTGTCTGATCGGTGTCATTTCGATGCCCCCTCATCACTCAGCCCTCAAAGGTGGCCTCCTCAAAGGGTCTTGGATTCAAAGGCTCTTTCAAAACAACCAGTGGGTGTTCGTCTAGGATTAATTGTGCATGACATGAGGACACAACCCCTGAGAAATACTCTCCAATTTTGTTGGCACATCACAAATATTACAAAGTATCCATAGCTGTCACGCGGTGCCATACACATATTGGATTCATCTACTCCTCAAACTCATCACCCCGCACCTAGACCGCCTTCATCCTCTTTCGGGCGACCAAACACACAAACACACACTCTGACATTGGTTTTCAGTTAACTCAATTCCCAGGAGAAATGGCGATGGAACGGAAAGGTGAAAGAGTCGGCGCAATTGTATTGTTGAACGATTTTTATGCAAGACTGCTCCAGCAAAGCTTAAAAGTTAAGCAGGTACAGGTGGATGATCAGTCCACCCCTCCCTCGTCATACCGTAGCTTCGTTGCGTACGGTGGGTATGACGAGCCGTACGCCCCTGCTTTTTCCGCATCCCTGCCTCTTCGTGCTCAAGTAGTGGCGAGCTCTGGGGCTCTAGAAACCTCTAGTTCCTAGTAGCAAGGCCAAGAGCAACCAGCCCTCTAGAAACCGACTAGGCACAAACCTTAGGAACAGGTGTTAACACACACAGGATGCCGCGTTCGGCGCTCTGTCTGTTGGCAACGGCTTTGCACGCATAACGCCAATATTGGCGTTCCAAAAGACTACTAGTCACCTAAAGAGCCTTAGAAAGACAGTCATCAAAGAAAACAAAACAAGAGCAGACTAAGAGGGCAAGAAAGAAAGATAGGTATAGTGACGAGGCCCACTTAGTTAAATGAAAGTAGTTCGCGAGCGGGACTTTTGTCTTAAACCGCTCGGGTAGCTAGCAACAGGATAGGGGAAACAGAAGGAAAGGCACCAACACACAAGTGTGTTGAGTGCGATTTCCTTCTGTTGCCCGAATAGCGGGTGGGATAGCAACAGAGGCCTGGGGGAGGGAGGGGAAAAAACCCGAAGGCATTGCCATCATTGGCATTCAAGTAAAGCCGATTTGGGCCGGCGCAACCCGACTGAAAGGCACCTGAAACCTAAAGAAAGGCCTCAAGAAAACGAAAAGCAACAGCAGGAAAGAAAAAACAAAAGAACCAGGACCAGAAAAGATTACTTAGTCGTTCACGCGCCGAACCCTCCCTCGGCTCGGTCGCAAAAGGTGCAACAGTTTCACCTGAAACCTGAAAGACCTCGAGCAACTCTATACCTAAACCTAAAGCCTCGAGCAAACCCGAAGTCGTCCGAAAGTCACAGTCGACCGAACCTGGCCTGTGAATACTTAGCAGCATGACGTGGACAAGTGAATACTTAGCAGCATGCGAGATGATCCGAAGGTTCAGTAGTCGAAAGGTGGTAACCGTATTAGCCCGCCGGCTCGAAAGGCAGTTAATTCAGTGCTGAAACGAAAGCTGTTATGAAACTCCAGAAGTGGTGGACAGAATAAGTCGGTTACACGATTTCCAGCATGAATTCAGCGCCCTGTCACGGGGATCACACCCAGCACCCAAGTGGGACGGCTGAGCGGTTCACACTCTGACATTGGTTTTCAGTTAACTCAATTCCCAGGAGAAAATGGCGATGGAACGGAAAGGTGAAAGAGTCGGCGCGATTGTATTGTTGAACGATGTTTATGCAAGACTGCTCCAGCAAAGCTTAAAAGATCCCCGTGGAGATTCAGGGGGGGGGGTCCTGTCCATGGTTTCATAGATATGAAATGCTGGACCTCACCCTAGGGGATATAAACAAATAAAGTCAACTTGTTTTTACTACTATGAATCCAACAAACGCTTCTCAGTCATCAGAAATGATCATGTATCTTGACCCTTCAAAAGAAATAATCAAAAAACATATTGTTTTATGATGCTGTGTGAGACCGCAGTCTAAACTGACCAGCTGGCCGTACCAAGTGGCAAGCAAGGTTTCACAAGCAAGCAACAAAAACAGTCATCCTCTATAAAAGCTGAACCTCACCCCCTGAAAGGGGGGGCCCATAAACCATTTTATAGTATATATACCTTAACCCCTTTGGTTTTATAGAGGATATGGCCACCGAGATCTTAAAAGTTAAGCAGGTACCGGTGGATGATCAGTCCACCCCTCCCTCGTCATACCGTAGCTTCGTTGCGTACGGTGGGTATGACGAGCCGTACGCCCCTGCTTTTTCCCGCATCCCGGGGCTCTAGAAACCTCTAGTTCCTAGTAGCAAGGCCAAGAGCAACCAGCCCTCTAGAAACCGACTAGGCACAAACCTTAGGAACAGGTGTTAACACACACACACTCGAGATTTTATGCGTTTGATTTGATTGTTCTTAGTCCTGAAGAAACCTTGGTAAAACAAAGAAGCCTAAGCAACACATGCTTCCAAAAGGCTTCAAGTTCCAAACGTTTCCAGTTCCAAATAATCAGGAAAGTTCAAAAGGTTCCAACGATCTGGAAAGTCAAGAGGTTCCAAGATCGAATCGTTGAACGGCGACTGCACATCTGCCAATGAACACGGATGCAATGGCCAGTAGATTTCTAGTCAAAAGCAGGGTCCATGAGGAATTGAAGGTAAGGCAGCTGGTACGTCTGGAAAGCGTCCTTTCCAGATTTTAGCCACTGTTCTTCAGCCCTCTTCGTTGAGCAATCAACTGCAAAGTGGAATTGTCCCCCTGCAATGTTTTAGAGTATAATTCAGCCAAAAGGCTCCAAAAGCCAGTCCAAAGGCTACACACACGAACTCCACACTGGGTACCCCAACAGCCGGGAGTCTCGAAGACCACAGCGCCGGCAGTGCCTGGGTACCACGTGGAGGGGAACCCCCTCTCATTATCTCATCTAGGCTGCACCCTAATGTAGACTCTTGATTCATCATCCCCCCCTCTTTGGAGTGTAAATCTCTTCATACAGGGGGGTTGTTTGATCAACTGTCTACATAACTACTAGGCTCCACCCCCGCGGTCGGATCCAAAACCAGCTGTCCAAAGTGCACAGCTTCCAATCCTCCTGTGATCAGCTGTTCCCAACATTGGGTCTGGGGAGGTGGGTACCTACCCTGATGTGTGAGCTCGTCCTCTAGGATTGGTCCCGCATCCGAGAAGTGTAGCAACAACCGGTCTTTGGTCACTTCAGAGAAGGAATCCGTTGTGTAGCTCTGGCTAAAGTTCCGAAGCTTCCTGCAAAGGAGGAGGACAAAACACAGACTCAACCTGTTCAGCTGACTCTTGTTCCTTCATCTGCCAACTGCAGACTCGGCTTCCGAACCTTCTGACAAGGTGATACCAGGCCTCCGGGCTCCTGTGTGTCGAAGTTGTTCGCATCACACGAGCCACAAATCCTCGGTGTTTGGTGGGATCATGGAGGTGTGAACTGATGAAAAGAGGAGTATACAGTTATTTTGTTTAATATAATAGCAAGAATTCACCTTGAAGACACCAAGCATGGATTTTCTTCTTGTAGATTTCTGATAGATTTAACATGATTTAACAGAAACACAAACTCCTAGCTATGGAGCATTTACCTAAAAGGATTCCGTGAGTCCTTTCAGAACTTCATTGGTGGAAGGTCCAGCTCAAACTTGACAGCAACTCACACTTCCTTCAGCTTTCTTTTGCAATCAGCACGGGTCAAGAATGGTAATTGCTGTCTGGCTCATGTCAAGTAATAGAAAGATATAGAACTAAAGCTCTTGGGAAAGTCATAGATAGTTTCAGACTATATAGTGATACACTGGAACCCAGAGCTCTAAAACACTTCTAGACCTTCTTGGTTCATCTGCCTTCTTCTCAGCCACATCATCTACAGTATTGTCTAGGGTCCAATGGCTTTGCTTTCAAAATCATTCTACACTCTGACTCACGTTGCATGGAAGTGGATGGCATGGTCAAAGGAAGACAACTTTCCATCACGAGCAGGGGGTGAACTCCACCCTACTTCCATGTGATGTGTTTCTCACAGTGACATCGTCAACCTCCACTCAGCCCACCCTTTCCTTTCTGGGTGGTACTTTCAACTCACGAGTCTAAGAGCTCACGGACGAAAACATGGATGAGTCAGTGGGATCAATCATCTCGAGCAAAGGTTGAACATCTCTTGAACAACAATCAAGGTTGATCACCCTTGGCCAGCCGCTCGCCCCTTCAGCGAGCAGCAACGGATATCCCATGACCAGGTATATCAGTGGAACTCTCAGTGGATGATGATGATGATGATGATGATGATGATGATGGGGCCGCAGGCCTTTCCATCTCTACAAATCGTGATGTTGCGAAACCCGACCGGCTCATCCCGGTGTTCTGCACGCCAAACGTCTTGGCCTTGAGCCAGTCCCACCACCGTTCCATGCCGAGCCCTCTGGCCATTCGCCGGCTCCGCTGCTTCGTGCACGAGACTTGGGATACTCCGGTACCACCTGGCAGAGCAGCTCGCAGCATGGTGAGATTACCGGGTGTGGCTGGAATCAAAAGTTGAGAAGAGGTTAACTCCAGATTGACTCATTGGTAACTCTTGCTTCAAGCTTGATTCCCACTAAACATCCCACACCAAAGCTGTTGGTCCCAGTTTGGACTCACACCCACATGGCTGTTGGTCATGGCACTAGACTGACAGGTTGACCTAGCTAGCTGACCTATCCCCAAATGTACCACATGTTGCATGTTGGCCAAAGTTGTGCAAAATGATGGCCTCTTCAGCAGAATGGGTTCGATCCCAAAAAGGATTTGGTTGGCAAAGCGCTTTGTGCAGCAACACGAGAGAAGATCAAGAAGACGCGAACAAACAAGCATTGAGGAACTAGGGGTTGCAAACAAGCTCTATATTGTTCTATTATTTACTCTTCCCAGGGTGTTATCCCACATCCCTGGATCTGGAGGACTGAAGTCCCTGCCCTCGGTCCGACCCATCGCTCCTCGACCAGCTCATGCTCATCTGCCTCGGAAGCCGCACCGGAGGACCGAGGACCGAAACGGGACCGGTCGTGACGGTCTGCCGGTCCCGTTGGATCGATCGGATCTCGGTACGATTCAATGTGGATTCAGACGGTCGAAGTCATGCAGAAGTCGAAAGAAGCATTGAGATCATAGTATACGATAGTATACGAGTAAATCATATAGTAAATCTTCCAAAAAAGGAGATGAACACACTGGAGATATCTGAAGATGCACCTTCGACTAGACCACACGCAACGGGCCCATCATCTAGCATGCATCTAGATACTCTCACGAACCAAGAGGAGACAGTCTATCTATATTTCCGTTGTATTTGAAGGTAGTATTACTGTGGTAAGTTGTCTTGAGCTTTCGTGGCAAAAGCGTCCAAAACCGCCATCCGCGCATGATGGCACCCGCGCATGGTGGGAAGTCTGCAGCGCGGTTCCACCGCGTTTGCAGCCCGTGGTTCCCTCTGAAAGACAGAACTCACGACCTCCACTGCGCTGGACATTCTGACCAGTTCTGACCCACATCTTTCCACCCAAATCCAACCACTCAGGGTCCGACCATGGAACCGGAAAAAACAAAAAACACCACGCCCCCCCGGAGTTTGAGGATACGAACCGTCTCGTACGAACCGTCTGTCCGGTTCGGTCCATGCCAGTGGGCCGGTGGAACATGTGGGTCTCACCGGGTGTCGTCCCGGTTTTCCGCATGTGTCGTCGGCCGGTGGGGAGGGATCAAATTGCCTGGATGCATGTGGATGCCACGAACAGAAGATCCCCATGTCAAGCTTGCAGTTCAAGCTGAGGGATGCTGAAGCAGTGTAGGAGTTCTTCGAAGTCAATTTCTTTGAGCCCATTGTTGGCAAAAGCATGTTTGAGTTCATTAAACAGTATTCAAAGTTATAAAGTTCTAACATCCCAACAGTATGCAAAAAAGCAAGTTTGTTGGCACGTTTGAGTTCCGTTTCAGTTCGGCCCTGAAGTTCCACGCGACTGGGCCGCCCACGTGCCACTGAAGCTTCAGCGGCTTGTGATTGATCCTGGAGGACCGTCAGGCCGCTGATGCACGCAGAGCCCAGGGCCGGATGCACGAGTCGGCATGATGAAGGGACATGAGAGAGTCGACATGGACTGGGGTGCCAAACATCGAAGAAAGCCCATGACACCCGGTTTTCTTCCCTTTTCCAGGCCCCAAATGAAATGGATGTTGGTGGCCAAGCCCAGCTGGGAGTGGATCTAATCTATGGAGCTGTCAGTAACTCCTGAACCGGTCATCTGGAACAGGTTAACCCATGTTGACCTTTTTCTTGTTTTTGTGATGTTTTGTGGGGTGTCGAAAACACATTTGACACTATTGAGGCCTCGTCCGCTCCGACCACTTCTTGGCTGGCCGCGCGCGCCACTGTAGCATCACCGGGCCTGCAAGCCGACTGGCACATGCTCACGAAACATCCAATAGTTGCGCTTGTGGCGCTGCTGGGCCATTGCATGTATTGAACCACCTAATTAAGAAAATATCTAGATGTCCTTCCAGGTGGATGGCAAGATATATGGGGAGTGAAACCTCACATGATGGTTGATTGATATGAGTTGCTTCAGTTGGTTGGCACTTACACCCCACACACCGACCCCACCGGCGCGCTCCCGCCGCGCCGCGGGGGTCGGTCGACGCCTCGGAGGGAGGGCAGGATCTCCTCGCCCGGGCGCCAAAAGAGCACCGAAGGCTCCAGCAGGTTCACCTCGAGCCAGCGAGCCGGCTCGAGGCTCGAGGATTCGTCTGGATCGGTTGAACCGTCTGTGTTTTCCACACAACCGAAAAAAGGGATCCACATGCACATGGGATCTCAGAGTTGAGTCATTGAGTTGAGATATGATCTTCTTTTCTGCAAGCATGAGATACTTTTCTGTTTCTTTTTTTTGTATGTCTTGCTTCAGGCAGTCAAATGAAATGACAGAACCATGGGGAACACATGTCGATGAAGATGCAGTCACGGTACATATTACATATTGTGTGGTAGTTACTCATATTCTTGGGTCAACGTTGCGGAAGAAAGTCTGTAATTAGCGTGGACATCTTACATACTGTCTTTGTTGTTCACGTGTTGGTTGCCAGTGCCGTTCTTGGGCATCCTCTTGCACTTGCTCTCAAAGTTGCTGCTGCTCTTGTTCTTGTCGTTGGTAAGTGGGAAGTACAGCAAGTGCTATCATCTTTGGTGTAAGAGTATAATATGTTTGACGATATTGGTCTTCTCTGACAAACGGTCCGTCGACTGCACACCTCCCGGTCACCTCTCAGTCACTGCAACTCGTCTTGAAAGGGCAAAGTCTTTTCGGTTGGCTGCTTGCTTCGGGAATGACACTCCGCTTTAAGATCATCTCCAGATCCGCCGTCACCCGCCGTCATCGGCCGAATGGAGACGCCGGAGATCGTCCTTTCTTTCAAGCTAAGAACCACCAGTGAGGTTGCTTGGAGTCGCAAGGTTCCCCCCTTAAGCATTTCCTTTAAGAATTGTATCGGAAATCCAACATCCAGCATCGAATTGGTGTGGACCACTGTTAACATCATTGAACATTGAAGTAAAACATATCTTATCTTGGCTTGGAGGGATCCGTGTCGCAAAGCCCAGAGCAAAGCCTGCAACACTTCATCTCCAGCTTGAACACCAGCTTGCTCAGCTCTGGAACCTGGCCTGACAACAAGGAATCTGAACAGGCCGGTCTGCCCAAGATATGATCTGGGGGCTGCCCATGCATACAACCCCTTTTGGTCACTGCAGACTTTACAGATCTTTCAAGTCAAATGAATGGATGCGCAGCCTGAATCCTTACAGTACCTGGAGTCACCCTTTCCCTTTGATCTGCCACGATTTCATCATCTGTCATCACCATGCGCCAAGTGGGAAGAACCGGATCGCGTCGACAGGTCTCGCGTCAAGCGTCGACCCATCCGCGACGTCTCGCCCGCGCCTGACGCGCTGGAAGTACACGGCATCACCCTCGCCCCCTCAGGTGAGTGACTTCGTCGCGGCATTTGGAACCAACGAGAAAGGCAAGACATATCAGCTAGAGTCACAACAAATGATTAACATACGCCTGATCTTCCATTGCTTGTAGCTTGAACTGGAAGCAAAAGCTCTTGCTTTGAGTCTGGATGTTGGGTTGGTCGAAATCTCACCCAATCAGGAGGTAACTCCTTGCCCCCAAAAAAAGAGTTATAGTAGTTACGTCTCAAAAAGGAGCGGGACCCACGTGGTAGCCACACGTCTCGCAAGAGAACAGGAACACCATTCATTAGTCCTGCGCGGCCATGAGAAGCCCCAAACGCAATATCTCAAACACGTCAAATACCCGGAGCCAAGGACTCCCAACCATTATTATATTGAATACAAACATGTAAAAAACTAACCATGACCCCATCGAATAACCCCAATCTGTGAGCCTTGTTGATAAATCTATAAGGCCATAGAATACCATAGACATTTCTCATGAACTTGCATTGCATATTTCTTTCGCTTCAACCGGCGGTATACGGCTCTTCATCCATCCATCCCTTCCATTTCCCAGCCTTCCAGGGTGATCTCCTGCTCGGCCTCACGCCGGTCCTAGCAACGTGGAGTGTTTCAGTGCTCTGAGCCAAGCAGAAATCCATGGTGGAATGAAAAACATTGAAAGAACGCATTGAAAGAACCCACTGTTAGGCCCATCGTGTTGATATGTGCCGATCACTCTGAAGCGGCACATCTCAGGAGTTCGATGAGATCTCACAAAGACTCGCGCGGCGCCTCGTAGTGCAAGCAACCACCCATGGGTGCTACGGCAACCTGAAAAGGACCAAGGCCAGGTCGATCTGGGTGAAAGGACCGTGGGGTATGAAGTCTGGAGCGTCTGAGTCACCATTTCTCTCATGTGAACATCCCCATGTCCCATCAACCGATGAATCGTCAAAGCCACGGGACTCTGAGCGAGCTTGTGGGATCTGCCCTTTCAGATTTGCATTGGCCCACTTTACACCCTGCAAACTATTTTTAGATATTGTTAGCCAACCTGCAGGAGCCCTGATCTGTGGTAATTAAGGCCAACCTGTGGGGGACACACGCGTGACTGAGCTTGTAATTAGTTATAAACGATGATATATGTTTACGCTGTACACTACCTCTTTCTCTGATATGAATCACTTGAGTGATTGTGTAGTAGTCTTATAGATTCTGTAGTAGTCACCGCCAACTGAAACTGCGGATCAAGGGAGATCCAAGAGCCTCCGCATCAACTGATGTATCTGCAGATACACTCCGACTTACTAACATGCAAGTGGACGTTCTGGCCCCGAAAGGAAGACTATTCTCCTCTACCAACAGGTGGTTTTCTACTTCCATGCAGTGAGTCAGAGACTACCCGCTGACCATCTTCGCCCCTCTCCCACCAGCTGGCGGCTTACAGCTGAGCCAGCCTCATCATCTTCATCAAAGCCTCAGGAGAGCTGAGTGCTCAAGATCAAGCACAGAGGTGAAAGGGGCAGTGGACCAAAGAATTTTTTACACCGTTGTATCCCCATGCATCCCCTTCACACACTACACGACACCACTTCCAGCAAACTCAACAAACTGATTGTTTAGGGTACAAGCATGTGCACACAAATCCGAATCTTGGGCGGTTGACCCTCCCTGCCACGGCGCTCTCATGGTGGCAGTGGATGGCACGTTCTCCCTCTTGGTATGAGCAGCACATCGTTTTCCGAACTCGGGGTATTCGAACGTCCATGGAACCATGATTCTTTCAGAGAGGAGTAACACAGACATGCCAAAACGACATGCTCGAGACTGGCCAAAGCATCGGGACCTTGGAACCCGATCTCCATCCGACCTGCCGCCCAAAGCACGGAGCCCTATCCAGCTGGTCGGTGAACGAAGGAGGCGACAAAGGCCAGCCCAACAGTCTCAGCCGTGGCAGGTTATATCGGTCTGTCCAGTAGGGAGATCCCAGAGAGAGAGAGAGAGGTTGGTAGGGAATGAATTGATCGGGTAGAGACGAGAGTCTTATAATGTATTATGAGAGTATTACAGAGGAGGTCTCAGAAGCTACTAGTAGTAATGCCCTTGTTACTATAGTAGAGGAGGTCTCAGTACGGTAGAGAGTCGGAACGAATTGATCTACTTTACTGTCCACCAATCTTTCGGGTGATTCAAAGCATTGGTGGCCAAGCACCGCCAAGGCCGCCAACGGAAGGGCAATCTCTCACTCCCTCCTGTGCAGTTGGGGGGCTCTGGGCCTCTGTTTTTGCAGTGTTTGTACGTGTCGAATGAAAAACGAGAGCAACACACACACACAACAAACCACATATAATTGTCAAGAACATGTTAATCATTAACAACAACCAAACAACACATGTTTGCAGGAACATCACACCACACAAGTGCTTGTGGTGTTTTCATTATCAAACAAGGACCGAACGAGTAGAAACTGTCAAATCAGGTGAACCGGTGAACCCGTGCAGCCTACTGACCAGCCTCTATAGCTGGGATGAAACGTGAAGCACAAAGAGGCCCCAGTTCGATCCCCAATTCAGCTGGACCTAAATGAACGATCGAGCGGAAAGCCATAGCCATCTGCATCCGCATCTAGTCACTGAAGAGCTACTCGCGGAGCTTTGTGAAAACCGAAGAGGATTGGAAGGGTCATCCTATGTCATCCTTTAGTATATTGAAGTCACCACCAGTAGGGATCAGCGGCTTCTGAGCAAACCAGGTATGGGACAAGTTATGTCATTTGACCATTCATCATTCATCTCTGGAATAAAAGCACAGGGAGTCTTCACAGAGTCTCAAGAATTCCCTACCTATACCGCCAAATTGAACCAATCATGAAAGGCATGTCTTACTAGGAGCGATCGAACGCCACGAACGGTGCTCCTGGCCTTACTAAGGCCCACCACCGGCGTCTGAGGATGCCACGGCGCATCGTGCTTGCTCGGGGAGTCGACGAGTGGGTGGAGTCGTATAACAACTGTGATCGTGTTGTTGAGTGTTTTTCATTCAGAGGTTAGCACTGATAAAGCTGAACCCGTGAGCTCCCAGTAAGGCATCTTGCTGAGCTCCGAGTCATTGTTTGTGTTCCGAAAAAGGCGTCGGTGCTCAATTGGGTTGATGTCCTTAGTCCTTAGGCCTTCAGTGACATGGACTTAATGTGTTTAGCTCTCATGGGTTAATATATACCAGCTTTAACCTTTGTTCATATCACTCCACAGCCAAATGTCCTGCGAATATGGCAAAGACACCAATGTTGCCAGCTTGCCCGCTAGCACTCATGAAACTCTTTCCGCCTCGACTCGAGTCTTCCGCCCCTTCGAAAAACACGGTCGCCCTTGCAATCCCAAATCTGGAGCCAATGGGAGCCATCTACTGAGCCATCTCTTTGAGGTCCAAGGTCTAAAGGGTACAGTAGCCATCTCTGCTGACAGTGGTGACCCAATGGGGGGAAACCTGGACACATCCCCAAAACACATCCCAGCACTTCCAATCCTGGATGAGTCTTGTGCAAGGTACGATGAGTCTTGTGCCCGTGTAACATATCACATCAGTTCGCTTTTGCATGAAACTGTCCAAACACTGCATGTATGAACATGATTTACCAACATTGAAACTACTCCAATGCAAATACAATCAAGATCAATCTTCCATGAGACGGATCACCTGGGAAATGTTATCAATTGAAGCTAAGCACAGAAACACTTCTGAGCTCCGCAAGATCTGGCATCCTTTTCCACTTTGAGCTTCTGAGTGAGTCTCTCGGACTCTTGCCCCCAACAGAAGTAGGGACGTCCAAGGGCTAACCCTCGTGTCAAAGCTCTACTTCTGGCATCACCCAGTTCTAAACAAGAGCACAAGCTCCCAGAGAGACCACAAATCTCAGCTTCCATCGCATCCAAGCCTGTTTTGCTAGCATATTCCGATGGTTATTTTTTCCATCACTCTTCCCCTCTGCTCACTCTGTTTGGAATCTGAGACTTGTGGGTCTAAAGACTCCCAGTGTCCAACGTTTCAAAACCGAAGGCTTGAGCTCTTCCACCCTTTCGGAAGAAGTCCATCGGTCAAACCAAAAGACTCCTTTCCCTCAAATACTTCAGTGGGCCCCCCGTTCGAACGCTCCCATCTATAGCACTCCCAGCTACGGAGTCAAAGCCCCTACGAAGCCAAGCGCGTCGCCCGGCGACTCCCCAAACCACCGAGGCCTCCTTCGCTTCGGCCGCGTCTCCGCAGGCGCGTCGCCCTTCAGATCGGCTGTCGAGCCCGCCCTCAGGCGGCGAAGTCTTTGGCATCGTCTCCTTGGTGGCCTCCGTCCGACCTGCACGCGGAGCGTCCCGGCTCTCGGCTCTCGGCGAGCGCAAGGCCGTACCCTGAATTGGGAACTGTGGTTGGGAGGCATATCGTGCTTGATCAGGGAATTCACAGGGCGTTTCAAATGTTTAAACTGTGCTTGGCTTGTTGCCCAAAGTTCTACGTTTTGGCCAAGGTCGGTGTGGAATAGTTCTATCATCCGATATTTGAGAAAGTGAAATAAATTGAAATCGCAGGATTGCAGGAACCCAACAGGGCAAGTCAGGGGAATTTGTAAATATCTTGTGAAGGTGGGTGCTCTCTGGCTTTGATTATATGTAACATTGTCTAAATAAGGGTCATGGGACGAGTTCTACAGGAAGTACCAACCCGGACGAGCTCCACAGGCGGGCGGGTTGGTAAGGTCACACACAGCTTGCGCAGCGAGGCTAGAAATCTGGTCGATTCTAGGTCCTTGCGTCTCGAAACATGTCCAACCGCAAATTCAAAAGAGAAAGACTTGTGGTAACTACCACTTTGACTTGTGTGGAACATGGCAGATGTTTTTTAGATTTGTGATGACAAACTTGAAGGAAACTGCCCAAGAACTGGTGGACATCTCATGACATCTCTCCCATAAGACTTGAACTTCAGGACTACAAGTTCACCGATAATTCACTGAGTCGTTTACGTTGTTGCTGTAAAACAATATGTTTTCCCCCAAAACAGCAATTCCCCAGTATACAGTATAAATATGTATAAATAGGTAAGGTATGGTAGGGTTGGCTCCTTGAACAAAAATGAACAAGAGACCATCATCTGGAACTCGATCCAACGTTGCACCATGAACTTCAAGTATTTCCACGCCGCACGCCACTCCAAACAACTCTCTCCGCCGCTGACTCCTTCGGCTAGTCCTAAACCTGCTTGGCCTTCGTCCGGGCCCCCGACTTCTTGATGTCCGAATCACCCTGGAAGTCAAACTGGTCGACGATGCCACCGGCCCAGGTGGAGTCCTTCGACGTCTTCGCCGTTCGTTTCGTTAAAGACGTGTCGCCATGGGCGGCTCGATATGCACTGGTGAAGATAGATCCAAAATCCGCAAAGAGTGGAAGAGTTTCTGAAACATCCTGAACAGTCCCACTGCTGGACCACCACCACTGGCTGCAGCCACTGGTTCTTTTCACCTCGCCCGAGCCTCATCACCTTCATCCAGCGCCACGAAGGACTTCAAGTTCCCCTGGCTCGCCTTCCACCGGGCCGGGGCCGGTCCGCGGCGATCAATCAGTGGCGGTCCGAGGTGAGGAATGAGGTGGAGACATGGTATAATCTGTCCCAAACACTCCCTGTATATCCTGTATGGAATACTGTTGAGAACGCCTTACAAACCACCCCACGATGTAAATATGTAATACACATATTTGTACGTGCAGTGTCTGGGAGTGAGTCATGGCATCGAAGGCAGCTCACCCAACCCGACATCTTGTGGAGACGGTGAGAAGTGATCAGTGTCAAAAACGTCCGTCCTGGAACACAGTGCTGGTAGAATGAATCATGGTCTTTGAAGCAAGGGAGTGTCAAGCACACCTGTGGTTGAGTTCGAGTTGGCCAATTATCGCAATTCTTTTCAGCGTGAACGACCTCCATTCAGAGTCAACACATGCTGAGAGGTGATCCATGGAGCAGCGAAATGGCCTTGTCACTTGTCCCAGAAGAACAAAGTGCTCAGGAGAACCGCACGGAAGAAACCATGGAAAACCATTGCTGGGAAAATCACACTCACCCAAGGAAAGTTCATGTCAGTCTAGCTGAGGATACAAACGCTTTGTTTGCCACCCTCTTTAGGGGTTCACATGAAGTTGACATCCACCAAGCAAATGTCGCCCTTTATGGCACTTTGATGACCACTTTTCCAGAGGAGAGCTGTCTAAACCCTTCAAAGGAACGACCCAAGGTTTACGCACATCATGATTGGAGGACCTGACCACTTGACCGCTGTTCCCTTGTGCACCAAAAAGCTGTGAGGTTGTCCCATGCACCAACAAAACTGTGTACCAATCTACAAAAAGGGCAGAAACAGCCAACGCCCCAGCCACAAAGACAGAGTACATCTTGGACGATGGCATATGATGAACCTGCATGAAGATGTCCAGCTTAAGTCGTGTCAAGTCCTTTCTGAAGATCAAATCCTCTTCAACCTTCAACCGCTTAGAATATTTATATATACCACCCTCAGAACTCCAGGCTCAAATATCAAAGATTGCTTTAGCTAACCCCATCCATGTACTGCTAGTTATCTATCATTATCAATCTATCTATCCATCGATCTATCTATCTTGCCAGCAAAGAAACACTCCTTGCAATCACCCCAGGCAGTGGTGTCAATGCAGTCGAGTGCCACATGGTGCTGCCCCTTTGTAAAGGAATGATAGACCAACACCTGCGGATTTCGGATATTGTTACATTGTGAATCCACCAAAAAAAGAGAGCGGTTTCATACGCGGCTTGATAGCCGTTTAATGTTTCTGTTCGTGGTCTTTGGCGCCTGCCAGGCCATGAAGTTGTCCACCGGTTGGTCAATGGGCGTGGCCAGCTGCAAGAGCTTCTGAGCTCCGGCCTGGATGTGAGCCGGGTAAGCCGGATCTGGATTCAAGCTGGATCTTCAAACGACCTTTCGGTAAAAAACAACACCAAAATCAAAAAAATACACATGCTGTTTCAGGGGCTGTAAACATGGTTCAAAATCAATGGATGGCGAAAAACGCTGTTTTGGACATGTAAAGACGCTGTTTGGACAGCACGCGGTTTCCCTAGTTCCTCTTTGTCACCAACACAAAATGCCGTCTTTGGGAAGAGACGCTGTAACGGCATGTTTTTCCTAGCAACCTTATTTGTGCCGTTTCGAAGATTCAGTTGTACTATTGCTTCTTGGTGACACGGTGACGCGTAAGACTCTTTGGAGAAAAACACATGACTCTTGGCACATGTGAGATTTACAGTATAAAGTTTACTAATTGCTTGTTATAGCAACATCGATGAGCCGTGATCAACATGATGGATGCGTCGGATTCTTCATGATTCTTCACTAAACACAGTGCACCATCCTGCTTCGATTCTTACCCCAAGTTCCGACGTGAACGGCGCCATGAAGGGCGCCGTTCGGCCAACACCCAAACCACTCAGTCCACGGGCCTGTGAGATCACATAAGCCACAGTGGTCCAAACATATTCGGCCTCAATGCGTGAGATTGGGACAAAATGGCACAAGACCATCCAGGTCGGTCACTGAGTGGATGGGGACACGATCTCGCTCCCTCTGAACATGTTGCAAGACAAACCAATTCGGGTTCAGTCTGCTTCGGCCCGCTGGTGGTTGAAACCAAATATCGCAAATGTTGCGAAGCACGAGCACGCAAAACCAAACATTGCAAACAAAAAACTCATGATTCAACATCTGCAGAAGCACTTCACTTGGCGAGAAATCTGAGGCCTTCTGAATGAATGTTCGATCAGCATTTGAGAGTCCGCTGTCATCCTCCTGCGGAGTCCGCAAGCGCTATGATCAGAATGTTGCAAATCTCCATGGTCATTGATTGAATGAGTGTGGGTTAAATTTCCTTCTTCCAGAGGGCGTTTGAAGGCAGCGTACTGAAAGGACAAAATCTGCAAAGGCGCAAACACTGCCATGTTTACACATGGTGCCTGACATTGCCTTCTTCGACACTAGAACCCAGCAACAGCTCTGCTGCAGGGTCGTTGATACCGCGAATGCATGTGAAGACTGACACTCTGACATTGGTTTGCTGTTAACTCAGTTCCCAAGTCAAAGAAAGGTGGTGGAACAGAAAGGCGAAGAGTCCAAGCGTTTGTAGGTGTTTGAACAAACTGGTTTCACACTTGACTGCGGAAGCTAGCTAGTTACTGCATTGGCCCTTTACTGCAAGAACGGTAAGGTGCAAGGGTCCGAAGACTTGAGGCCGAGGCTAGGTGGCGAAAGCTAGCAGGGGTGCATCCGGACTGGTGGGACATCAAGCGGAGTGAGGCAAATGCTCATGAGGTAAAACTAGTGAACATGTAAGACACACAAACAGCAATGACACAGCCAACCTTGGAATTGAAGTCCCCGATAATTAAGGAAGCGTGGCTGGACTTTGCCACACTGTTCGATGCATCCGATGTGTTCACGAACCTGTGAGCTTGTTGAATCTGTTGCGCCGTATCCCAAAACCTCCACGGAGGAGTTGAACCAGTGTGGATGCCATAAGAGGTGCCCAAGAGGTGTCCCAGAGGCAAAACAAAGCTGCTTGCATGATTTGTTTGGTTTCTTCTATCGATGTCGATGTCATGAACATGTGAGCTTGTTGAATCTGTTGCACCGTATCCCGGAGGAGTTAAGCCAAAGTGGATGCCATAAGAGATGCCCGAGAGGTGTCCCAGAGGCGTCCGAGGGGGGAGTTGAACCCACGGGGGGGGGGGGCCCCCCCCTACATATGAAGTTTTCACGTGATGCGGCGATCCCGAGGATTCCAGCCCCTCACTTGCTAAAGCAAGGACAACTCCAGCTAGCTGGTGCTAGCTTTCGTGAACAGAACTGTTTAACAAACGCACTAGCACTTTACCAAAGATAAGGAAACCTGTTTTGGGGGATATCATGCGAACAACCACCATGGAAACAACAAAAGGAAAAGTGGAGTCACAGCGTGTGCAAAAGTTTTCATCCGCGAGGTACAGAAGTTTGCGTCCAAACTTCCTCGATTTCCCTAGCTTCGTTGGCGTGACTAGGAAATCGACCGTCACGCCCCCTGCGACTTAAAAGTTGAGAAAAACAGAAACTCTTAGTTACAGAGGTGGACACACACAGAACGCCGATATCGGCGCTCTGGGGGAACTTACTAATCACCTACAAAGCCTTAGAACGAAAGGAAAGAAAGACAGAAAGGAAAACGCAAAGGAAAGAGAGAAAGATAGGTGTAGTGACAAGGCCCACTAGTTACGAAACCTGCTAGTTACTGACTGCTTAGCCGCATGAATAAAATGCACTAGTTAGCGGGCGGGACATACGTCTTAAACCGCCCGGGTAGCTAGGAGTAGAAAAGGAGAAACAGAAGGAAAGGTACCGACACACAAGTGTGTCGAGTACCATTTCCTTCTGTTACCCTAGATAGCGGGCGGGATAGAAACACGAATTAGGTTGCAAGGTGGGGGGGGGTGTGGAAGTGTAGACAGACACAAGGAACCGTAACGTGTCCGATCTCAAAGTGGTCGTGGTTGGAAATGTGAGACAGTACATTCTTGAAAGTGAAATCAAGCTGCAAACACGAACGTGAGTCTGATCAACGAGTGGAATTGCCGTGAAGGCCGGCGGCATAAGTTGCAGGGAATACAGTGGTGAAACTAATTCCGTTAAGAGAATCCAAAGTCTGGTGGAGACGGTCGAAGCAGTTACACGAGTTCCGGAATAAAAACGGCGCCTCCTTGCGGAGGATCACACCCAGCACCCAAGTGGGACGACTGAGCGAGTCACACTCTGACATTGGCTTGCTGTTAACTCAGTTCCCAAGTCAAAGAAAGGTGGTGGAACAGAAAGGCGAAGAGTCCAAGCATTTGTAGGTGTTTGAACAAAGTGGTTTCACACTTGACTGCGGAAGCTAGTTACTGCATTAGCCCTTTACTGCGAGGACAGTACGGTGCAAGGGTCCGAAGAACAGAACTGTTTAACAAACGCACTAGCACTTTACCAAAGATAAGGAAACCTGTTTTGGGGGATATCATGCGAACAACCACCATGGAAACAACAAAAGGAAAAGTGGAGTCACAGCGTGTGCAAAAGTTTTCATCGGCGCAGGTACAGAAGTTTGCGTCCAAACTTCCTCGATTTCCCTAGATTCGTTGGCGTGACTAGGAAATCGACCGTCACGCCCCCTGCGACTTAAAAGTTGAGAAAAGCAGAAACTCTTAGTTACAGAGGTGTACACTTAGAAAAAACCACACAACAGTTGTACAAACCACAGTTTAGCAAAATGTCAGATCAACATAGATCAAACATGAGGATCAATCGATTAGCAAACAACTTATTCATACATGACCTTGTTACTTCCAAATCATTTGCTTTTATATCCAGTAACTAAATGGCTGGACGTCCAACCACTTGACACACAAAGCTGGTTATGTATTTCTTTGGTTCGTCAAGAAATCGCTGTTGAAGTCTTCCGACCAATGAGGGATCTCCAGAGATTGGGTCATTGAAAGGGCGCAGGAGCAACAAATTCTTGAACCTCGCGTCCTTTGCACAGAGCGTTTAAGGAACAACTCTTCCAGGCACGATCAGGCACGTTTGAGGAGGGTACTGCCCCACCCCAGAATGTAACACATCTTCCAGGGGGGTGCAGTAATGCGTCCTGTGGATCCGTCGGTCCAGCAACTCTGGCCGCCCCCCTCCCACAGAAGTTGCTTTTCTTATGCCTCTCGTTGGATCCGTGTGTGACCGTCTCCTTCCAAAGCTTGAAGTTGCCACCTCTCCAGCCACTCCAGCCCAGGTAGATGACATCCTTAGATCTCCGTACATCTGCCATCTCTCCAGCACCAAGAGTGCGGTGGCCTGCCCTCTTGACATCCTCCCAGTGTCCTTTTTCTATGTGACTGGAGTCCTGTAGAAGCATGTGAGGTACCCAATGCTGTACCTGATGGCTGACCATGTGGGTCACCTGGAACCCTTGTTCTGAGATTTCGGCTCTTAAAGCATGCGAGCCTAGATTTCCAAATTAGCATGGGCATATCACCTGGGACAAAGGGTTGCAAACACTGAACTCAGTGATATTGAAAATAATATAGCCCACTGATACCCCGACGGCTTTCCATCATCCAGCATGGGGTGTGACCATTGTCACATCAAGCACTGACTTGTCTTCAGTCAAGTGGTAGACTTCCTTAATCTCCAAGCAATGTGAAGGAAGCTGATCTGCTTCCGCTCGGTATTCGTGGGTGGTTGACTGCATCAACTCAAAGGCTGGATCGATCTAGCAAAGGAATTGTACACTCCCGAAAACTAACATAGACCGGACCCTGACAATGGCCCCATGGAAGACTATTTTCCTCTACCAACCAGTGGTTTTCAGGGTCCATGATGGTCTTCCAGTTTGTACCTTCTGGTAACATGATGTAACATGGAAGTGGATGGCAGGGATCCTTGGATTATCATGGATCTCGACAAACAAGGTGGGCCATCCACAGTGCCCTAGATTTGTGTGTCCGGAGTGTACAGTGGCAGGGTACATGGCACTGGCACCCAAAGATGTCCCTTGAAATGGGGATCCAAACCAAAACCACCAGACTTGCAGGCCCAGACGTGCCCAGACATGCCTCGGCCCACTGCCTCCCGCTTTCAGCATCCTGGAGGATTCCGGCGTCTTCTGACTGGTGCGACGAAAGTAGGGAATGAGGGTGGCTGGATCCAAAAGAATCTCTATTGGGGGCTCAGTCCCTCATTCTCTACGAGTCACAGTCAGTCTTCCTCTTTCTCTTCCTCTCCGGCGATGTCAAGGGACAAAATCCTCTGGCGCACGTGCGATAGCTTCAGCCAGGCGCTTAGTGAAGACCTAGCGTGGCCGCAAGGGTACAGGTGTCCGGTTAAAGTTTCCTAATACATATATATATATTATATGGTTAGGAATGGTTAAATATATATTAGAGGACTACTGTGCTGGTAAACATCTGTGTGTTTGCCTGCTTTGCTGGGGGATGGCCCGGGAATGGCAGAGTGTTTTAAGGCCACAAACCCTGGACCCCCCAATCACCGCAGTCGTTCAATCAGCAAGATTACCTCTGGCTCTCGGCCTCGGTCTCAGTCAGTCTGGCTCTCGGTCTCAGTCCTCAATGATCCAAGTCATACCCTTTTGGCTGAAGTGTTATAGGGTTGCAATGTCGTGGTAGCAAGCGACAAACCAGTTGAGGAGTTGAGGAGTTGGTGCATCAAACCAGTGAGCACAGTCCCGCAAGGCGAGCGAAGCGAAAAAACACATACGGACGCATAGGGACACAGCTCTTTTGTCCAAAAGAGGTGTTGAGGTGGAGTTTGAGATATACCGTAAACCATTGGATGCAAATTGCCCTTGGGGTCATGACAACTATACGACTCTTCTTTGCAACAGATCGCTGCACTGAGAGGGACTATATAATTACAACTAATTATATACATAAACTCTACAGGGTTGTGAGACTTATCAAGATCCAAAGTGAGATCAGGCTGATGATCAGGTACTGCAACACGACACCGGAAGGAGACTAAGTACTGCTTTATTGTAGTGCTACTACCAACATTCTGTGATGGATGTGCATAGACTCTCAGTAAAGGGTCGTCAGCACGGGAGCGAATCAGGAACATTACAAAACCCCGAAATCAACTTCTGTGGTTGCTTAAGCTGCAAGATATGTTCTGCTTGCCTAAATACAAAAACACAACTCTTGCTGCTGCCCGAGTTGAAACACTTAGCCACCACCGGCTCTTATTTACCATCATATACAGTGGTTTTGAAGCAGATGGCAAACACATTCTAACACCCATAGTGAGACTTCAGGTGACAACTTCTACTGGGATTTCAACACCACCCAAGTGGGCTCTGTGGCCATCGAGTGGGCAGATTGCACCACAGGGCCTCGCCTTGCCGTTCATCTTGCCCTTGTCCCCGTTGCGGTCAAAGCCAAGGTGGACGTCATCCTGGCCGTCGCACGTCGGTGGTGAAACGCTGTGAGCAAGGACGTTTCCTGATGAACTCCTTCCTTTGCTTCAGACCTTTCCTTTGGACAATCCAGCAACAGCACCGTTCATTGCCATCAATGCGTTAACTTTCAACTTGATACAGAACACATGCACTCAAACGCACCCATGCACGCAGCTGTGCCTACGAAGTGACTTCTGTTTCTGATTTAGGATCCCCCTGACATGCTTTTTGGTAATGGTTGGTAGGTGTTTGAGTTTGGTGAGTTCCTCTTTCTCCAAAGATATTAACAACAAGACCATTCGGCTCCTGACACGTGGCAAAAATCGGCTCCCTGTCAGTGAGATCCCCTCGCCTCCAGCACCAGTGTGGGCTCTGCACGCTTGGATGCGAATTCCCACAAGCGCCTGACGCGTTCTCCGCGATGCGACGCGCGTCCCCGAGCAACGGAGCAACCCGAAAGAACCGAGACGGGAAAAATCTACGTGGGACTGATGGACTGAAGTGCTTCATGTCCAGTGTTTGCTCGTCCAAAGACTTGGTTTGTTCGTCCATCCCAAAGTTGCCCCAGCATCCCTGATCGTCTTCCCTGTGGGAAACGAACGCTTGTTTTTCGCGGATTGTAATGAATGCCGCTTGGGCTTCCTCTTGTGCATGCCACGAGCAACTCAGAAAGTTAGAAAGGCTGCAAACAAATGGCATCTATATATAGACATACTTATAGACATTAAAGATTGGTAGTCGAATTCGCATATCATATCAACAAAGTTACACCAAAAATACACATATACAGTCATATAAATTATATACATATTTATCAACAGTGCTTCAAGAAAATTACACTCCAAACAATTCCAAAGAAACATACTCCCTCCCGCAAGAGCTTTATATTAGAGTTACCTTCGGGCGTCAGACGATTGAAACTGGACAGCCTGTTTTGTTTCCCTCCAAAAAAGAAACGGTTCACGGCATGTGAAAACATCGATCGATGTGAAACACGCCATCAGTTCACCTCCTTTTCACCTCCATTAGCGATGCCCTCACTGTGAATTGATATGAATTGTGGAGCCGATCAAAAGGAAGAAACGCCGGGGCCCTACGAGTTGGACCACCATGGCCCGTCCGTGGGCGTCCTCCAGCTTCCCAGCTCGCGCCTGTGGGAGTGGGCACAGCCTCGCTCCCCACCGGACATCAGCTGAGTCTGCAAGGTGCCGTGAGGTGCGACGTCTGCTGTGCGACGTCTGGTGTGATGCAAAACTGAAAGACCTGGATGAGTTCTGGAAGACCTCCATTCTTATCATTCTTATCACATCTATGCGTCCTCTTTGGGTCTTTGAACATAGTCCATCTTCTTTTTGGACACCCCAAAAGGATCCAAAAGGATCGTCTGAAAGAAACGCACCATCGTGCTGATCAGCGGTTTCTGCCAACACCGTCCACCGTGACCCAGCGACCGGGGCGAGGCCGTCGGCCTCGCCAGGATTCAGGTACTGCTGGGCAAAGCGAAGTGTGACCTGAGTGGTACTGCCCGAGCGGATGGCACGGGAAGCAATGAAAAAGAACCGCAACGAGCGCCTTGTTAGGGATTTTTCTGAAAGTGAAGCGAACGAAGGTTTTGGATGGTTTTGGGATGTTGATACGGTATCACAGTATAAGTTCGGAAGGGTCGGGGTTCGGCAGGCAGGGTATGTTGTTTGGACCCCAAACTGTTTGTGGCGGCTGAGGTTTGTCCTTTGAACAATTCCAGCAGTGACCAAGCTGGGCCGTGACTTCACTCGGTGCCTCTCCCAGCTTTCACCAGATGTGCCCGCCTTGAACTTCTCACCGGTGGACTTCTTCTCCAAGCTCCCCGTGAAAGCCGGCTTCTGATGAAAGCTTGGAGCGTCACGGACGTAGCCTCAGATGCGGCCAAAGTTCCGATGCTCGTTGCTCCTAAACACAATCATTGTGCGGGTCCTCTTGAAGAGAGAAAACCGTGATCAGTGTGACAGGTGCAACATGGTGCAACACTCGAAACGTCACAGGTGCAACACTCGAAACGTTCGGATTCCACAGCAGCTTCCGACCGTCTACACGTCCCAGTGCATGGTTTCACATGCCCCGGGTCCCGCCCCAAATCCTCAGAACTACACAGGGAAACGACTTCGTCCTTTCTCCCTGTTGTTTACAACAATTAACATACAAACATTTTGCAGCACTATGATACACATTCTTTGGGTGCCAGGGCCCAGTGGATGATGATGATGCTTAGGTTGCAGGCTGACATCTCTAAAATAGTGATATTCTTGTTCACCGACGGTTACAGGTTTGCTGGGACAAACCCAACCCATGCTTTTGCCTTAATCAGCCTCAAAAACCTCATGCACTTCCCCATGGGGCCGCCAAATACTCACTGAGCGACTGAAGCCATCACCGTCTTCAGTGAACCTCCACTGGTCGTCCTCCTCGGGCGCATCGGCCGCCCACATCCAGGTGCTGCCATCCTGATGACGGATTTGTGGCGCCCAGGAATGGAACCGGGAAAAACTTCAAAACATACACCCAAAAAGAGACCCACATGGAACCTGATGGCACGGACCAGACTGGAAGACTCTTTTCCTCTACAACCCGACGTGGTGTTCAGGTTCCAATGTTCCTTTTCCTGGTTGTAGGTCCCAGAAGGGGATTCCCCCCTCCCCCCCCTTTTTAAGAAAAAAACACCTGTGTCCCCATACGTCGCCCAAAACCGCAGATACTGGCCGACCGGTGCCGGCAGCACGCCATGGTTGGGATGGATGGAGGTGGTGGATCCGGCGCCGGATCCGGTGGAAGCAACAAGTGATTTGGGGAACAACGCAAGTGCATTGACAGTAAAAGGAACGAAATGGTTTTGCCAAATGGCTTCAAGTGGCTTGAAGTGGCTTGATCCAACAGGCACAGGCTCCTGGTAAACCCATCTGAAGAACTATGTTCATTACTCTGTTCATTCACTGGGTAGCAAGCACTGCAAATTTCCCTCTTACAGTTCATTAGAGGCTGCCTCTTTTGGCTTGAACAAGGAAGCCCGGGAAGGATGGATGGAATCTTGCTTGCAGCAAAGAAAGACTACACACAAAAGACTGCACAGGTTATGTATGTTCCTCCAAGCAGGTTCGAAGGGCACCATGGTGGGAACAAATCATGGGGAAGTCCGTGTCCTGATCTTATTCCTTCTACAGCCAGGTTGCAAGTCCAACACTCTAGGACGGTGTAAGGCCGCATCTAAAGCCATCATTACGCAACTGCTCCTGCTTTTGGAGCTTGTCAACCTTCCAGTTGCTTGAGGAAGTTTACACCTTGGCCATCCTAAACTGCATCTGTATCCCAAATCCCAAGTGGTGATTGAAAAACCTGCATGGTCAATCCATGAAACCCATTGGAAAACCAAACATGAATAATGGATAGCCATAAATCCCGCATTAAAAACGAGGCACCTCAAAGGCCCACTCGTAGAAGTCGGCAAAGTTCGCCTAGACAGTGAAGTTCATGGTCTCGTATGCAGGTACAACCAGACCCTCTGAGGCCTGGAAGTGGAGACTTGAAATCTCCCAAAGCCCATGTGGCCCCGTTCGTAGCTTCCTTTGCTCCTAGTAGCGATGCCAGGAGCCCTAGTAGCGTTCTTGTTGTTACAGCGAAGTCACCTAGAAACACCACCAGCTTTGGCCTGCTGAATGGGGGGTCAAAGCTGGGGACTGTCGGCTCGTCGAAAACGATGACGCAGAATCAAGCAGTGACGTTGACGTCGAATCGACCAGGCTTTTGGGTGTTTTGTATCAACATATATTTCAACCCGAGCCCACATGGAACTTGCCAATCCTGGCTATTGTAGTTTTTGACTTGGATCGAACCATCAAACATGATGATCTTTGTAGGGTTTATAAGGATCAAGGATCAAGGCACCTTCATCACTGGCTGATACTCATTCATCACCTGGATGTTCTGGAAAGTTCAACAATTTGTAAAGCAATACAAGTTACGAACAGTGTGGCACTTGTTCACTGCTTGGAGCTGCTTGCATTGACCAATTTGCTCATCCCTCAATTAAAAAATCCAAAAGAATCAACATCCCCTGCTGGCCACTGACCCAATCCGGAAATGTCCATCTAATATCATCTAATATACAGTACTTAATCAAGAATTGCTTACAATATTCCACCGGTTGGGGAACCACCGGTTGCACGGTCACTTTCACTTCCGACTTCCGCCACTTGGAGCCCCGGACATTCCGCGCGGTGTTCCACTTCGCCGTCACCTCCTGGGTTTGTGGGTGATGGGTTTGTGGCATTTGCCTCAGATCTTTGGATTAGCCCGAAAACCAGCGGTAGGAAATGGACAGACAAACCAGGCAAGAAAAGAAGACATCAGCGCTGAAAACCTCGTCCGAGCTCACCCGCATGTTCCGTTTGGAATTACTTTATCGCTGTTGGAAGGAGTTCCAGTTCGCCCAGAATCCCAGCAGTGACACCTGCTCTCCCCGGCCCGCAGTGGTATGGCCCGACGTGGTATGGCTGTCCCATGCGGAAATCCCTTAAGTTGGCTCAATGAATGAGGTCCACTTTCTCCTCTCTGCTGGTTCTCGTCGGTCCCTTCTCGTCAGTCCGTCCGTTCTCGGCGCCTCCTCAGGAATGGTCATCTTGGAGCCATCGGAGGCCAGAAACCGCTCGAAGTGTAGCCAGGGCAGCTCCTCGACGTGCGGGGTACTCCGCAGCGGCCACTGAAGGCCGTATGCGGTGGCAAAAACGGTGGTGATGGGTAGGAGGGGCAGGTTCTGTGGGTGACGCAAAGCTTGTGACAGCTTGGGAGGGTGTAGGAAATGCATCGTCTTTATGACTTGTGAGTTTGGAAGGGTGTTCTTCTTGTGAGTTGGATGGCTTGACACTCACTATTGACCAGATTTGGGGTTGGTCATGTCGCAATGGCAATTGCCACGTGGTTTTGTGAAGGACTTTCTGGACCAGTGAGCCACTACTTGAATGGTTCATAGATTCATAGGTCGCCAACTCTCTGAGGACAAGAAACAATTGTTTGCATAGAAATAGAATGAAACACTCATACACAGGTATTAGGCCATCGCTATTAGGTTGGAGGCCATCGCTATTAGGTACTAGGCCATTCATACTGGGTACGGCAAGGCACTCCGAACTCAGCGACTTAGAAGGTTCAACGACTGTGAGGGTCACCGAGAATGCCCATGCCCAACAACCGTTGTGAGGCTTTCAGGAAAAGGACCTCACACGCGATTTCGGGGGCCAAAGAGGAGAACACCATGGTGAGGGTCATCTTGTCTTGTCTGCCTTGTGACCTAACCGATTTGTTTTGGCCTTGTGAGGGTCCATCTTCGCACCTCCCATCTTGGTGTGGAACCACTGAGCCCTTCCCGACCTCCGAACGCCTTTTCCATTGAAACCCCCTTTCTCTGAGTCGGTCCCGGTATGGGCTACCGCATCCTGTACGGAGCCGATGATGGTCGACCCGGCGACGGTCCCAGCGATCCTTTTTCAACATCGTCGCCACTCGCTTCCACCTGTGCGGCGACCGCCAGCACGGCTCGGGGCGCGTATTTTGGAAGAGGTGGAAAGGCCGACATAGACATGGTGGGAAACAGTGTTTCAAGTCCGTGTTTATTACTTTTGTCTATTTTTGTTCAGGTGTGTAGATATCCGGATTTGAAGATACTGTGCCTACAAAAAGCGTACTCACCTTCCTTCCATGTAGTTCCTCCCATATTTGTGTGGCACTCTTTCCGAGTCGCTCTCGTCGATGTTTCACACATCAAGCGACTTCACCTGAACATGTTTGCCTTTCATCCAACTAATTACCAACAAGGTGGAGTTTGGATAACTTGTTTGATTCTATAGGTTTGAATCTATCAGTGCTCCATGTGTTTCTGTCTTCACACCTGTTCTTCTGATCTGTCAGATGACCAGGTTCCAAACTCATTGAGTAGTACACAGAAATACCAAAGGGGAAGACATCGACTCACTTGGGTACAGCATCCAAGTTGGTAGAGCAAAAGCAGTGGTGACTTCTGTATATTTCAGAGGAATCGTCCAAAGAGCATATCTAATATACCTGGCCTAAACAGCTGCGCATGTACTTTTACTATTCAAATGTTGTCCAGATTTGGTTGTGTCTTGGAATCTTCCCCACCTCATTACCGTTGGTGGTCTTATCTTTCTTCTACCAAGCCATTTCCAGAATTCTCACCGACCTACCAATTCCTTACAGAATGAATCCAACAGAATAGACTTATAGACCTACAAGGATACCAACTCAGACCTCCCAGAGGTACCCTTCCCATCTCGTTTCCCCTTCCCCGACCGTGTCTCCGTCCATCCGAGCGACCTATCAGGACGGCGTTCTAAATTGACCACCCGAGCCTCAAGTGCCTGGCACATCCGGTCATCGGATTTCGTGGCCGATCAGCGCGGCGCAAAGGAGACCTACCAGGCCTGGCAGCTTGTATATATATATATATATACAGTATATATAGATCTCTTCTTTTTTTTTTTCGCCACTTGGGAAGTTGGTTTGGATTGATACTCGATCCAAATCAATCTTCTAAAACGATTCGGGGCAGGATCACTTCAAGCCGCTTAACTTCTGAACGCATTTCATACACTCTCTCTCGCTCTCTCGCTCGTTCTCCCTCTGTAAATATTAATACTATACAGTAACACATACTAGTAATAATTACATACATCTATAATACATATCCAGTAATTACATGTTTCACTATTCATTTGATCATGGTTTTCATCTGACCCTTCGCCTCCTTGCGATGGGTCATCCTCTTCAGGGATCCACCAAGGCTGCAAAACCTCCAAACCAGATCCACCGAAGCTCCTACAGACCGAGGCTCCTTCAGTGATCCACAATGACTCATTAGGACTCATCATGACTCATCAGTTGAGAGGAATGGTCTTTTCCACCTCAAACCAAAATCAAACTGGATTGAACACATACCAATTGCCAATTACAATATATTTCAATATCAAGAAACTGGTTTGAGATGCTTTGAGAATCTCATCTCAAACCATCTTCTTGATGATTCGGATGATTCTGCGAGCCATTTGGATCAGGAATCTGGGTCCGGACTGACCCACATCGTCCGGACTGAACTAGGGACTTGGAAACAAAACAAAGCATTGACAAACACCCGAATTGACCATTCAAAAGGAGCAAATGCATCAGAAAGGAGCAGAACAAAGCATCCAATCGGAGATGTTCTCCGAATTCTCTACCAGAACTGAGTGTCGGTGACGCTTCCACCATCTTAGTTGGACCCGGCGAGCCGGGGCGCGAGAACTCGCTCGTGGTGCCTTCAGGGAGGCAGGCACCTGGAGGTCCAGCGGTCTACGATGTGGTGTATACATCAGATGAAAAAGAATATGGAAAAGGCAAAAGGAAATGGACATTTCAAAAGTGATCTACGTCAAATGATATCTTC